CCCCAGGGCTCCCAGGCTCCACAAGGTGGATTGTTGGGCTTTAAATCACCTTTTTATTCCTCATCCGTTTTGGCCAAGAGGTGGGGGCACTCCCAAGGATTCCAACCTCCAGGACATTCATGGAAACCTTTGCCAGGCAGGAGGAATTTTGAAACTCCCACAGTTTGTTGACGCCAAACTGTTGTCCCCAAGAAACACAAGCGAATGTGGTGGGTTTTAAGTTAATTTTAAAAGTCCCTCAGCTGCCTCTGCAGTATTTCAGTCAAAGCCACTGTTTTTGACCACAAGAGGCAAACCCCTACACGGCACATTCAGCTGACCGTGTTTTCCGGGGGGCTGGATTCAAATTTCCTTGGATTTTCACCCAGGATTCGTTTGGCAGAGACGCAGAGAGGGCTGGCTCTGAATGTCCGGATTTCCCTGTGTAATTATTTGGCTTTGCTTCACGGTGGGTGCCCCACACTCAGGGCAGGGGGTGACCTCTCTGTGCATCCCATTGCAGGTGGTTGAGCCTCTGGAGTTGTTCCAGAAGGGGAACGTGGCCAACCCTCACACCTCGCACTGCCTGGGCACTGGGGACATCCTCATCAGCTGCCTGGGGGACCCTGCTGGCAACGGCAAAGGTGCTGCTCCCCCTTCCTTGCTCCGGGAGAGGATTCCTGGCACGGCAGGATCCACCTCCCAGAGCCCAGGCTGCGAAAGCAGGAGAGCTTTTTAAATCTCAGGGCGCAGAACAATCATTTATCTGCCTCCAAACACACTCCTCGAGCTGTCCCAGGTTGCACCTCCCGTTTCCAAACCTCACAGGGATTCCTGCCTGGAAATTTTGTTGCCTTTTCAGCCACCCGAGAGCTGGGAGGAATTAGAAGAAATGTAGTTTGGGGTGGGATTTCATTTCCATTTCCCAGGGCTTTTCCTGCTGGATCAGGGGCAAACACGTCCTTGGGCAGGTGATTATTATGTCCAGGATTCAAGGATACTGAGCGACAAGGTGAATGAATCCTCCAGGATCTTCTCTAAGATATACTGAAATATCCCCTAAGAGAGGGCTGATGGATTTACTGGGATGGATTTCAGCAGAAACAGAAGCAAACTGGACCTTAAAAAAATTCACGATAACGCGATAAAAAGCCTTTAAAAATCCAGGATTTTGTTTGCTTTAGGGCCACAAGGGGCAAAACCAGAATCACAAAGCATTCCTTGAAGGGCGAAAGCAAAGCCAGAATCACAAAATATCCTTCCAGTGTAGGGGTTGCATTTTACAGCACATTTAAATATTTAAATATCACTGCTCTTATTTAAAGCCGTGGGAACGTCTGCCAACAATATTTTTTGGGGGGCCTTTGTGCCAGGGAGTTTTATCCTGCTGGACGGGGAGACCTTCGAAGTGAAAGGCAACTGGGAGAGAGGGGGGAAGGTCCCTTCCCTGGGCTACGACTTCTGGTACCAACCCCGGCACAACGTCCTGCTGAGCACGGAGTGGGGAGTTCCCAAAGCCCTGAGGGACGGATTCAACCCTGCTGATGTGGGGAAAGGTGAGGAAAAACCCTTAAAAACTACAATTATTCCCTCAAACTTTCCCTTATAAGAAGGTTTAGTTATTCCTGCCCCTCAGGGCACTACGGGCGCCACGTGAACGTGTGGGACTGGAGCAGCCACGTCCTGCTGCAGGCCCTGGATTTGGGAGAGGGATCCATCCCGCTGGAGATCCGGTTCCTGCACGAGCCGGCGGCGGCCGAGGGGTTCGTGGGGTGCGCCCTGAGTGGGGCTGTGCATCGCTTCTACAAGACACAGGTGGGTCAGCCCCTCCAGGAGGGGGGGGAAAAAAAACACCCCAGGCCAGGGCACCCTGGGGGTGGGAGAGGGGATGGGGTGGGACGGTGGAATCGGGGTCGGAGTGATCCCACAACCTTAAAGGGCGGCTTGTTCAGGGCAGCATGTCCCAGTTTAAATGAGACAAAGGTCTTTTGCTGAGGATGGATTAGGAGAAAAAGACCCAAACTTCCTTTTCTAGCAATTATAAATCCGAAATTAAGAGGCTCCGATTGAAGGAAAACAAATTATGGAAAAGGGGAAAAAAATAACAGCCCTTTATAAAAGGGTGTGTGTATTAACAGGAACACGAAAAAAAAACACCAAAAACAAGTAAAACAACCAAGCAATACCCCTATACCCACCAATAATCCCCTTCAAGAACAAAACCGATAAAACCGGCAAAAAGGAAATCAAATAGTTCAATTTTTAGCGCCCTTTGGTGCAGTTCCAGCCACGGTCAGCAGGGGCGCCGTCGGGTCACTGGAGATGCAGAACTTGTAATGTCCAGCCCCCGTCACCGGGCGGCGCTGTGGGATCCCTGGTTGTCCCGGGTGGTGATGGAGGAGGGGGGAAGGGGGAGGGAAACAGAAAACTCTCCCAATGGAAGAAAAACTCACGACTCTCAGTTGGTGAAGGTCTCGCGGTGAAAACCAAGCCTGCAACCAGCCGACAACTGTGCAGAGAGACAGCAGCAAAAACTCCTCTCCCACAGGAAAAGACAAAAGAAGAAACCAGGCAGTCTCTCCTGCTTGCTGCAGCCTCCCCTCCGGCTCCAGAGCTGAGCTCCAACCCCCAAACCCCACCTCT